GATGGATGAATGGAGGGATGGGTGCATTGATGGATGGATGGATGGATGGATGCATTGATGGATGCATTGATGGATGGATGAATGGATACATTGATGGATGGATGGATGGGTGGATGGATAGTAGGATGAATGAATTAAAGGTGTACGCAGGAGCTTTTGTGATGTATCAATGAACGAAGTGAATTGCTGGAGGGATGGCTGGACTGTGGATGGATGAGACAGATGAATGAAGTAATGATGTACACAGGAGGTGAGTGAAGGAAAAAAATGGACGAAGCATGAATGACTGAGAACTTGCGAGAATGAGCGAGAGATTGAACGAACTGGAAAAGTGGTGAACGGAAAAACGAATGGAGATGGAAGGAAGAAGGGAAGGTGGAAGCATATGGATAAGTTCAATGATTGAATGATTGAATCAAATGGATGACGTGAGCGGAATGGAAGTTAAATCGACGAGGGAATGCTGGGCTTGTGACGGGAGGACTGGTAGGCCAACCTGTGGCTGAAGGATCTACCTGTTTGCGCGGGGTGGTTGTGTGGCAGGTGGAGCACAAGGAGTTCAAGACTGGGGAGGGAACTGGAGGAATCACAAGGAAAGCCAATCCGGAAATCCTGGAGCATGATCTAAAACGCCAGATCGAGCTGAAGATTCTGCTTCTCAGAGAAGCTCTTGTTGAGCAAGGGTAAGTGGCCGGCGCCATCTTTCGTCCGCGAGCGCATCTCGTGGACAGGCTCCTCCCACACAGCATCACCCTTTGCACGATTCTACGAGAGGCTTCCGTCCCTCGTTTCCATCCCTCGTTTCCATCCCTCGTCCTGTCCTCCCTTCTGTCCTCCCTTCCTTTCCTCCTCCCCTGCCCTTCTTTCCTCCCCTCCGTCCTGTCCTCCTCCTCCATGTTCCTCCTCTCCTCCCCTCCTCCCCTCCTTCCCACTTCTCGTCCCATCCGTCCTTCTTTCCTCCTCCACGTTCTGTCTGTCCACTGCTCTCTGTTTGAAGCAGGCGGGAAACCTTTGCTCTCGACGTATTTGAGGGCAATCTGACGTGGTGAGTAAATTGCAGTATTTTAGATGTTGTGGGCGGCACTCGCTGTCAGTAATGCTTTGGCTGTGAGGTGTTCGAGGATGCATGTGTTGTGGGCAACCTTTGTTGTGAGAGATGCTTGTTTTCCATTGATGTCTCGCGACGTTGGTTTGGGGGGACGCTCTAGCTTGCCTGATTCTTCGTTTGTTGTGACTTCGTGTCCAGGTATACCGAGGAAGAGGTGGCAGAGAGGGTTGATCAAGCCCGCAAGGAGCTTCAGCAAGCGCCTGCAGGAGATGCGTTGGCTTTGTCAAGGGAGAAGAAAAAGTAAAGTATCGCCTCATTCATCTCGAGACGCAACCGGTGGAAAGTACGCAGTCTTTTGCTGATGAGATTCAGAGAAGATGATGTGATGCATGCTAAGCGCAGGCCCACTTACAGGGCGAGTTCTATGGATGTATCTTACGAAAATGGCCAGGTTCATTTGAAGAAAGCCTTTGTGAGAGTATGCCCCGAGTTCACGTATCTGATGAAATGACATGACTAAATTCACGAAGTACTCGATGCCCTGTCGTGGCTTTGCCCGGGAACGAACAGTTGCTTTTGTGCTCCTGTTTCGGGGGGTGCAGGGGGGCAGCAGCGCGGAAGGCCTATGGGGGGAAGAACGCTAGATGGTGGTGGGAAGGATGTCGCTAGACGTGGCCGATGGGTGAGCTGCGAGAATGTCCTGATGGTGTGGGTGTGGTTATTGCGTTCTGGCCAATCGTAGGTAGAGGTGTCGACTCAGAAAGCTGTGGTCATGGTGGGGTGTGGTGGTGGAGAAGGCCTGCCGTGGTTTCGTTATGTCTATCTCTAGTAGATTACCTGTTGCAGCTTCACCCGCAAAAATAAACAAAATAAATGAAAACGGGACGTTTGGTATGCACGTACCCCCTCTTCCTTGTTGATCCTCATTTCCTATGGAACGATTGCCAACTGGTAGCTTTCGGACACTGTGAACTCCTGTCTCTGAAGGCTGTAAAGAATAATTTACGCAGTGCTCTGCAATTTTTTTTCCGTCTTTTACCCCTCTCCCTCTGCCTCATGCTGGTTGGATCTTCCACCCTTTGGTGTGTGTGTGTGTGTGTGTGTGTGTCAGAGAGAGAGAGAGAGAGAGAGAGAGAGAGAGAGAGAGAGAGAGAGAGAGACTGGAGTTCTCTGATCTGCAACTAACGAGGGTTAGGGTCTGTGCGGTGTTTGCTGTACTCGGAAACTTGTGTATGCAGTCCCCAAGAAACTCATCAGATTGCAGCAAGAAAGGCAAAGCAGATGGAAGTAATGCGGAATGCACTCGGTTTGGGTGACGTGAAGGAGGGAGAGGCATTTGACCGGGAACTGCAGGAACAGCGAAAACAAGAGAGGATTGAAGCGAGGGAGAAAGCAGAGAGAGAAAGGAAACAGAGGGAACTTGAGCGGCTTGAGGAGGAGAAGAGAAGGGAAAAGGAGAGGCAGAAGCAGTTGAAGGAAGAGAAGAAGGAGATGAAGCGGCGGGAGAAAGAGAGGCGGCGTCGAGAAGAGGAAGAGAGGCGTCAAGAGGAGAAAGAGCGTAGGGAAGAAAAGAGGAGGAAACAGGCAAAGAGGAGACGGGAGGAGGAAGAAGAATTGAAGGCGGAGAAAAGGAGGAGAGAGCTGCAGAAGATGCGTGAGGAGGAGGAGGAACGGAGAAGTAAGGAGGAGAGAAAGAAGCGTCAAGACGAGGACAAAAGACGCCAACAGGAGGGGAGGAGGCAGAGAGAGGACAAAAGGGACAAGAAATATTCCGTCAAAGACATTGGGGACGTCAGTGGGCGGAGGGATGGGAAAGTTTACAGCAGTGATGAGTCTTCTGGGAAAGACAGTGAAGGTGGCAGCGGAGAAAGAGAGGACAAGAGAGACAGTAGATATGGTGCGAAACAAACTGAGGACGTCAGAGGGGGTGTAGATGTGAAAAGGAACAGCAAGTATGGCAGGGATGAGTCTGACGAGAATGATAGTGAGGATGGGAGCTGGGAACGAGGGGGCAAGAGAGACAGAAAGTTTGGTATGAAAGAGGATACTGAGGAGATCAGAAGAGGAAGAGATGAGAAAAGGAACAGCAGTCATAGCACCAAAAACGGTGAGGATATTAGAGGAGACACAGATGTGAGAAGGAATAGGAAGTACAGCAGCGATGGGTCTGAGGAGAATGGCAGTGAAGGTGGCAGGGAGGAGAGAGAGGACAATAGAGACAGGAAGCTCGGTGTGAAACAAGGTGTCGAGGACGTCAGGCGAGGGGGAGATGAGAAAAAGGATGGCGGGTACAGAAGCGACGAGTCTGATGAGAAAGATAGTGAGGATGAATGGGGAGAGAGAGAGGGAAAGAGAGACGGCAAATATGTTATGAAAGACAGTGAGGACGTGAGAGGGGGGCGAGATGCTAAAAAGGAGAGCAAGTACAGCAACATGTCTGATGAGCGAGACAGTGAGGACGGGAGAGGGGGGCGAGATGCTAAAAAGGAGAGCAAGTACAGCAACATGTCTGATGAGCGAGACAGTGAGGATGGGAGGGGGGCACGAGAGGAGAAACGAGGTGGGAAGCATGGTGTGAAAGAAGACACGGAGGATATCAGAGATGAAAAAAAGGTAAGCAAGTACAGCAGCGATGAGTCTGATGACGAAGACAGTGAGGATGACAGAGGGAAGAGAGGGGATAGGAGAGACGGGAAATTTGGCACCAACGACAGGGAGAATGTTGGAGAAGATCGACACGAGGATGACAGAGGGAAGAGAGGGGATAGGAGAGACGGGAAATTTGGCACCAACGACAGGGAGAATGTTGGAGAAGATCGACACAAGGACAGGGACAGCAAGTACAAAAGTGGTGACACTGATGAGAGGGGTTCTGGTCCTAAACCGATGGCTCGTTGGTTTACGGCAGCGTCACCTAAAGACAAGGAGGTGGGGCGAAAGATGGATAACGACAGTGGGTCTTCACAGAGTGGTGGTGCACGTGGAAGTAGTCTAGGAAAAACTAGACTAGAAGGCAGCGCGAGTGAGGTGAGTGCGCACATGCACAAGCGAAGCGAAGAGAGACGGACTGATGTGACGAGTAAGGAAGACCATGGGACAGAGGGGCAGGAAGCAGTGCGTCAGAGAAAGGAACCGGCTGCCGATCTCAAAACATTGCCCCGTACAGATGAGAAGAAAGAGCATGGAGCTGGAAGTAGGCTGAAGAGTGATAATCCTTTGGACAGAAATTTACAGCAGGTGAGACCTGGCGTGGTGACGAAGAAGAGGGCACGGGGAATTCAGAGTCGCAGCAGAAGTGAAAGTGAAAGGTCGACCTCTGAGTCAAGCTCGAGCTTGAGCTCTGATTCGAGCTTCAGCTCGAGTTTGAGCTCCAGTGAAAGCATGAGTTCAGACTTGAGCTCGACAGAGACCTCAGGTTCAAGCTCCAGTTCCAGTGGAGAGTCGAGTGAGGCTGAGTCTGAGCGCAGTGGACGGGGAAGAAGAAGTTCTGGCAGGGGCAAAGCTAATTCATCAAAACTGGGCAGTGATGTGAGGCCAAAGGTTGCGGGCAATAAACAAGAACGTGGCAGGCAAGCTGTGGCGAAGGTTGTGTGTGGAGGACGGAGCTTGGACCCTTCTCAGAGACAAGTGTCTCCCAAGAAAATTGATGAGAAGGGACGAAGGAAAAAGGAGTATAGTGGTGGGGACAGCTTAGAAAAACGCGCAGCAACCGAGATGCAGCCGAAAGACATGGAGGGGAAAGAGAGGCAGGGGAAAGAGAGGCATGCGGGGGAAAAGAGAGAGAGTGATACCCTGGGAGAGAAGCCTGTGAGAGCCCATGAGCATGTGTGGATACAGCCGGAGGAGCGAGAGAAACGGGGCAGGGGTGAGGAGAGAAGAGAGAGGAGCGAGCGGGTGGACACGAAAGTAGGGGTAAGGGAGAAAGAGGACAGACAGAGGGAAAGGAGGAGGGAGGAGAGAGAGAGTGAGCCACGAGTTACAAGTGGACAAGTAGACAGAAGGGAAAGGAGAGATGACATAGACAGGAAAGATGAAAACAGGCGAATGGAGAGGGGGCGAAGAGATGACAGAGTTTGGAGAGGTGAGAGGGATCGACGGGAGGAGAGGGATTGGAGGGAGGAGAGGGATCGGCGGGAGGAGAGGGATCGGGGAGTGGAGAGGGATCGGCGAGTGGAGAGGGATCAGCGACAGGAAAGGGATGGACGAGAGGCGGAGCAAAGAGATGGGAAGGAACGGAGGGAGGGGAGGGAGGGGAGAGAAGTGAAGTGGAGAGAGGAGAGGGAGCAGAATGATCAGAGGGTAGGGAGAGGGGAGAAAGATTGGAGGAATAAAAGGGACCCGAGGGACAGGAAGGATGGTAGAGACGAGAGGGATTTGAGAATTGATAATAGAAGTAGAAGGGGAGGGAGAGGATGGCCTAATGAGAGGAGTAAGGATGGTTGGGGAGATGAACGGAGAGACAGCAGAGAGGGAAGCTGGGAAGACAGAGTGGAGATAAGACAGCCAAGGGGCGGTAGACCTTCAGAGCAAATGGACAAGGAGATCCAGAAGGTAGACACCAAAGCCACACGGGGTGAGGGCAAGAAACGAAGGCATTCATATTCTTCAGATAGCATCAGCAGTGGCAGCAGTAGCACCAGCAGCAGCAGTAGCGGAGGTTCTGAGTCCAGTAGTGGTGGTACTGATTCTGAGAGCCCTCAGAAGAGCAGAAAGCGACGTCGCCAACGGGGTCCCAGTGATTTAGAGTCCGAGTAATCTGGGTGTCTTATGTTGATCATTGCTTTCTGGGTGCACTGCTCAGCTCACACTTGTATGCACGAGGGCTGATGGGTGGAGGAATGGTGAGGCATGGTGGTCATTCCTCGAAATAGCAGGACATCTTCATTCCAGTTGTTGAATTGCATTGCGGCATTCTGTCACCTGACACCTTCTCTTCAGGTCTGGTGAACCATACGCCACATTATCCCGCATAACAGGTCATAACATTCATCAGAAGCAGGTGCGAGGTACGATTACGAACCTGGGTTGTTGCATCGTGAGTGTTGGCATGCATTCTCAGACTTGTTCCTTTGTCATTTGTAATAGTGGAACTGTTTCTGCATTGTCATCCGCTTGCATTGTCTCTCTAGGAAGCAGTGGAGTTCCCAGTTCGAGTGGAGATGATGACAGTTGTTGGGACAGGGGTTGCATCAAAATTGCGGTGATGTGTACCATTTGCTATTCTTAGGGATTCTGTTAGAAAGGTCTGCGTGGACCTAGCCATCACTGCGTAGGAAGAAATCAGCATTTAGAGGCATGACGTAATCACTACATGTGTTCTCTGTGAGCAGTTGTATTGCGGTCGGGAAGCAGGAAGCTCACCTGACATCTATGTGAGTTGCCTCCCCTTGCGGCTCCCAGTGATCAGACAGTTTGTGCTGTAGGCATTCGGGAAAGCTGGTCATGTGTGGTAACCGACATGTGTCTTGGGCCACGGTGCCTGAGTCTTTGTCGCGGACATGCTCAGCAGTGGGGAGAACATCCCAGTTCTCTCTCTCTCTCTCTCTCTCTCGTTCTTCCTTTCTTTTGTTGTTTGTCAGCTCAACCTGTTTGCATCATGGGAAAGTCCCAATTCTCTCTCTGTTGGTTTTTGTGCTTCTGATCCAAGTTTCTGTTTTTTCGCTTTGGCAATGCGCGTTGTCTCGTGTTACCATGTGTTGCATGGCAGTTGTGGGCATTTTTTTCGCGTTTGTAATGTTGATCAATCGTGGTTGGAGGCGAGGAGCCTCTTGTACATCTGAGGCCTTGGTCAGACTCGTCACAAAACCTTCCTCTGCGGCATCCACTTTATGTGCAACATGCTTAACATGCAGCATATCGTTGAAGTGTAATCTCTTTCACTCAGGCTTTCTCTTTTTGCTATGTTCCTGTTTGGACTCTACACTCTTAGAAGTATCATCAGAGAGTGTCTGGTAGTGAGGATCCTATTTAGCCAACTGTTTCAAGAGCTTCCGTTTGTGGACCGCGAACTGCCCAATGCGACTGAGCGTGTGCACTGGGGCTCTGATTTTTCTGGTTGCCTCTCTGTGTCGAGCAAATCGTCACGTTTGCTGTATTCGGATAGCTGTTTAGATCGACTGAGGAGAGCACCTTGACCTATTTCACTGGCTCCACAAGGTGATGAATGAAGCCCCCTTGTTCTGCCTTCGTCTCTGAGAGTCCAAATAGGGTACAGGCATTGACAGGCAGAACCCTGTTATATAGTTTTTTTCTTTTTTGTTTTGGGACGAATTTTCTTGTGGTGGCAGTGCACGCTTCTTTAGTCTTGGCTTTGTTTCTGAGGATTTCAAACAGGGTCGGCATGAGCAGGCCGGTAATTTTTCTCGGATTTGCTTTTCTTTTGCTGGCACGCTGTGAAAGTTTGTGAAGCTTAAGTTCAAGTTCGTCTGGAAACCTGTGGGCCTTTCTTATCCTGGTTCCTGGCTGCCTGATGCTGGTCGTCCTTTCACAGGCCAAGCTTAAGCCTATCTCATGCTGAGGAATTCTCTGCTCTGAAAAGCACTGCTGCTCTGAGGAACAAAAGTTTTTGCAAGAATCAGTAAGTTGTTGTTATCAATCTGCCCCCCCTGACACTGTCACTCTTTTTCCTCCTCCTTTGCTTTCACTCACCTTGTTATTCATTTTCTCTTGTTTTGCTCCTCTCACCAGTTCTCTTTCCAGTGTTTGACCATCACCTCACTTGCATGTACCCCCCATATATCGGCGACGGGAAAAAAAGTAGAGTGGTGTTGCGATGCTCATAACCTTCAACTTTGTTGTTCCATCTTCTATTTTTTGATCCCACACTCCCGGCCATTACGTCATCCACCGTACGTTTTTTGATGTGGGCGGAGCGGCACTGGCCCCTCCCCTGAGCCTGGCCAGGCTGCATCCGTTGCCTGGCAGATTGGATACATTCTGTCACTGATGGCGAGGGCCCCCCTCTAGAGGGTGGTGGCTGCCCCATGTCACTGTGTCTCTATGTAGCTCCTTTAGCGTGTGCACGGCACAGTCGCTGCTCTGAACACTATGAAGGGATGGTCACCGCCAGCCGCTGCCATGGATTCTGTGACCCGCTGTTTTGCACTCATCCCCCCCAGCCCCTTATT